AAATAAGCATTTGATTCGTGATTGCACTTTTTATGTACTGTGTTGCAATGTCTAATGTGGGTGGATTGTTGTCCATGGCAATGAGTGCAGCTTGTTTATTTGTGCAGCCTCTCAAAAATGCATCTATTGCAACAGTTTGTCGACAGTCTTCTGGTGCTTCTGGGTATCCGTCTGTTGTCATTTCCAAATATTTATCTGCAAACTCTTCTACGGATTCCTCAAGACCTTGTTTGACATCTTCAAGTTGTCTTCGTATAATATGAGGCAGGTCTTTCCTGCCAAATCTCTCATTCATTTTTGCGCTCAGTTTCTTAAAGCTTCTCTGATCTGAACTTGGTCTGGAACTGAAATATTTCAAAGCTTTGTCTCGAAGACTCTGAACAAATTTGTCCAGTTTCTGTTCATCGGACCATTTGTATCTTGATGCAATGTGGGAAACTGTGTGAAGAAGGGTCTCCAGTCACTCTTTCCATCAAATGTAGACATTTTTGGTGGACTTGGTCCCTTTGGCTCATTGGTGTCAAGGCTAACCGATGACGATTTTCTGTAAACTCATTGTGGGGTTAACTTGTCTAATTCTCGACTGATTTTTTCATCTTCAAGCTGCTTGATTTTATTTTCTAAATGTTGTAGTTTACTTTCCCACCTGCTGTCTTGTTCCATAAGTGTTTGTTCCATCCCTGCAAGTTCTTCGTCCTTTGCTGTCATTTTTTTTACTAATTGTGTTTTCGTAGTGTGCTTTTGTGTTTTCTAACTCTGTTTCAAATTTTTGTTGTAACTAGTGCATTTGTTTTTCATGTTCAGATCTTAATGTATGTTCTAAAAATTCCAATTGTTGTTGTCTAGCAGTGATGTCTTTTTCTAACTGAGAAATTTGTATATTTTTCTTTCAATGTCTTTTGTTAGCTTACCAATTTCTGATTGTAAGAACTACGCACGCTAACTCTCGATTCCCGCCTACATTTTACACCCATTTAATTCAATACTAATGGGAATTTGGCCGTAAAATCTTTGTTGAATTCAAAGAACAGTTCAATGGTAATTGACTGATAATTTTAATTCTAGTGTTAAATAGTTAATTACCCCTAATTCAAGCTCTTTGAAAAAGGGGGGTAGACGATATTTTTCATTGAAATCGGGCTTTAAAGTATCACCACATTTTAAAATATTCTTGGATATCCATAAATGTCCCTTAAATCTTTTCTTATGTTTTACGTATATAAAATTAGACATATATTATTAATAAAATACAATGTTTTAGTTGTAAACCTCTTTAAAATTGGTGGAAAAAATAAGCATTTTTGTAGTTTTTTGTCTGCAAACCAGGGATAGGGTAATTGAAAAAAGTAATTGCAATTGACTGTAATTAATTACATTTTTTGAAGTAATTGGAAGTAATTTGTAATTGAACATTTTTTCAATTACTTGTATTTGTAATTTAATTAATTACACTGAAAAAATACCATGTAATTTCAATTACTTTTTCAATTACATTCAATTACTTTATATAATACACATTCATGATATATTTATGATATATCGTCAACTACCTCTCCATTTTACTGGTTTTTATTTTATTGTTAAACATATCCTCAATCCTTCAATTATACAAAATCTTAGGTTAATGCTTACAAAAAAATAATTAAATGATTGGATTGATAATAATAAACTAGTTTCTTTCTAATCATTATGTAAATTTTGAATTTTTTGATCAATGTTTATAAATATGAATTTTGAACCACCCTTCCTAGGTCTATTCAGCTATGAAACACACATTTATAATATTTCAATCTTTGTTGTTTGATCAATAATAAATAAAAAGAAGGTGTGTGTCATTAATTAAGTTCTCTCTTGTTGGGAAGAGATAATTGCCCTCCAGATCACAGCTTTAAATTGCAATCAAAACAAATCAACTCCTCTAAATCATTCCATGATTTAGAAGACAAAGTCAGTGGAGATAATTATTTGAATTTAAAATGCTCCGCTAGCTTTAGAAAAGAAAAACTTTCAATTTGATAATTATTTAAACATCTAAACAGATTTTTATGAATGAATTTTCTATCTGTACAATTCTGATTTATGAAGTAAAATTGTTCAACATTACATAAATAGCAATTTAGGATGTTCAGGTTACCTTCAAAGGAATTATTTAATTTAAGGGGTTACAGTTGCGACTCATTTCACTCTATTAAAATACTCACTTTTAATCAAATATCATAAGTCATGCAATTTTTGTACATGTAGGTTTGTGTGGTGGAAACTGCATCAAGCTGATCTGGGTAGTTCTTCAAGAGATTCTTATTGTTTTTTTAAATAAATGTTATAAATTAAACCAGAATGATACACAGTGCCTATAGCATATTATTTCTTGTACTGTTTGTGCAGAGGCTGAGCTTATATACAAATAAATGATGTTTTGTATACTAATTGACAATTAAGGATTATAAAAATTTTCAAAAAAATTAAAAATGTAATTTGTAATTTAATTAATTACTTTTGCAAAGTAATTGTAATTTAATGAATTACACGTCTTAGAAAGCCTGAAATCTAATTGTTATTTAATTGAAGAAAAAGTCAAAGTAATTGTAATTTAATTAATTACTTTTTAAAATAATTGACTCCATCCCTGCTGCAAACATATGTCCCATTCCCATGAAACACAAAAAGCTTTGGTATGAATTTGTGAAATGAAAGTCCATATTACCTGTAAAAAGGAATTTTTGTTTCACGCAGAGGGGGGGGGGGGGTTAAAAAATATCAGCCGTTTTCCGTTGATTTCTATTGTGAAAAACACAAGTTTTACCAAAATTATAGAGTTACATGTATATCTCTTTGTTTTCCCAAAGAAGTAATACTTTATGAAAATTCATATAAATATCTACATCGATATGAAAGACCATTCAAATGTGTTAACTTCTGAAAATTGACTTGTAGGCAGGCGGGAGAACAATATTATCGTTCGCAGTTCTTTTGTAATTTGACTTAGAGCATCTTCCGTTTTTGGATGTGTTTTTTTTCTGGTTGTGTCACTCTCAATCAGAGTATTTTGTCTTTTAGAATTTGAATTCAGAAGCGTGTAATTTTTAAACATTCCTTTCAATGTATCAAAATGGTTTCTGCATAAAATAGAATGACGGTTGGCGGAAGGAAGTCGGGACCACTAATTGTTTTTTATTCACCTTACTTTTGTCCTGGAGCGTTCTCGTAGAAGGCTTAGTAAATCTTTATGAAACTTCACAGAAGTAAAGGTCAACACCTACATTCCTGCGGATATATATTAAATTTTCAAAGGATGTTTATTTAAAAACTGAAAAATTCATATTTGCCGTTTCTTGATACCAGCGGCCAAAAACGTTGCATAAACGCTTATGCTTGATCTTTTTAAAACTATAAATTATTCAATTTCTTTGTCTTCCTAATTTTTTTCCCCTAATATTCCTAGGGTACGTAAAGGCTAATCTATACAGCTTATATATATTACCAGTTTCTTGATATGATTTAGAACAAATAAAATATCTTAGAATTTCCAAAAAACGTAGGACCAACGTTTCTTAAACACTACAAACTATTCATTTTACTTTCATTTAAATAGTTTACGGGAACTGAAGCGCTTCAGTATACATGGAACGAAGTGTAGAGATAAAAGTTAGGAGACGGAAAACCTTCCTAATGCCATAGAAACGTATATGGTATATATCTGGTGGGCGCATTTTATTTTTATTTTCCTCTTTTCAAATATAGAAGACCATGTCATAGTTTAACCCCCCCCCCCCCCCACACACACACACTTTTTTTAAAGACAGCTATAGGTCAATACACAGATATAAAACTTACAATGGAAGAAGATCTTAGGAGTTCCATGAATAAACTTTAGTTTCGCTGATGTGATCTGATATTTTAGCAGCATTCAGTATTCTTCTGTTTGTCTATAGAATTTTTGATAATTTTATTTACAATTAAATTATCTTTAAAAAGTAGCGATTGTCAGCTGTATTCATTAGTATTTCACAATTTCTTGTTAAAAGATTACTTGCATATGAATAACTTCATTCAATGATAGTTAGTATCATTAAAATTTTAATTTCCATCGTTTTTATTAATTTGAACTGGGATCCGCTCCCGCACTTGACTGAAGGCCTCATCACTACTGTTTATATATAGTACACCGGAAATGTACGTTTATGATTTTGCTAAACTATTAGAAAGTTTACACATACTTTATCATCTCATATAAAAAAATAGCCCCTGTCCTATGTAAAAATACCCGATTTGAAGAGGAAAATTCAGGAATTATTTTGCTTCAGCTGTGTTTTGACGTGAACCTGGTATTCTGTTAATTAACTAAATGTCTTCCGTCTTCTACGGAAGGCCTTCTTGTTATTCCTGATATCAGAGAATTTTTTTTTTATTTTACACCAATCAGGTCTCTCAAAACCAATTTTCAGATAATAATATAAATTATAATAACATATACTTTTATATAGCTTGTGTGTGGAAAGGGAGGAGGGGGCTTTTTCTACATATAATCACTTTTTTAAGCATTGGAACAATCTTGCAGCTTATGGTTCAGTTCGGGGTGTCATACGCTATAAAATTGCTTGCAACAGCAGATTTTCTAGTTTTTAATGATTTTCTAAATCTTTTGTCTCAGAATTAGAGTATCGAACAAGTGAAATGATTGTCATATTACTTGCAATTATGAAAATATAACACTCGTCCTCTAAGCATATTACATCGTTTGATCTGGAATTGAAAAAGGTATATCTATAAATAGTAACGAGTGATTTCCTTTTACATTCTTGAGTCGTGTCCTCGGAAAGGCAGCTATGGCTCTTTACAATATGGTTACGAGCCCCAGGTAAAAAACAGTCAGGTGTAACGAATACGAAGGGTTTAAAATAACCCTGTGAAAAATAATATGGCGTATGGCTATTTAAGTGTTCACTCTTTATTAGTTTATAGAGAAAATAAAAGATGAATGAATGAATTGGACTATTGAAATGCCTAATTCTGGTATTTTTTCTCTCGTAGATTTACGCTTCGTGGGCCATTACGACGAGTGGAAGACAAAGATATCAGGTGAGCATTTATCTAGAAAAAGAAAAGAAATGCATTTGCCGAGCTTTAAACATCTTCTTTAAAATAGCTTTTCAATTATACAGAAACAAAGATTACATTTCATTGATAGATGAAGCTACATGTTTATATCCATTAGAGTATAAAACAAATACATGTATTAATAATTCAATCACATTTATATACAGCAAAACTCGGTTATAGCGAAGTTCTGGGGACCTGCAAATCCGTAATTCGTTATATCCTTACAGTACCCGCATCGTTATTCTTTACAGGATACACGATACGATAGGATACACGCACGATACGATAGGATAAACGCACGATACGATAGGATACACACACGATAGGACAGGATACACGCACGATAGGATAAACGCAAAACACGATAAACGCAAAACACTATAGACCTGATAAACGATTTTCACGATAGGATAAACGCAAAACCTGATAGGATTGTTTCAAAATGCGAAACGTTTTTTGACAAGACGAAAAGTTTTCTTTTTGATATACTATAGTATGATAATTTTAATTACTTACAAAGCCGCAAATCGAAATGATAAAACATTTTTAATTTATCATGATTAAACATTTGAAGTTATTATGCTTTGTAAAAGATATGGTGTTTTTGTCAATAAAATTGATCGACATCAAATTCAAACTGTAATTATTTTAAGAATAATTTCTCTATGATGGAAATTAGGCGATTTTTTTGTGTAATTATACAAATGTCGAAAATTCCTTCGAATCATTAAATTTCAATTCTGAGTCCGTAGACAAGCGAAGTTTTACACCCAAGTGCAATAAATTCATGAAACGCTATAAATATATTCATTATTTTAACAAATAAAACCTTATGAAATTCATAACAAACATTGATTATTTTTACGGAAAAACATGTAAAAAAATATGAAATATTTGGATTCAATATCTTTTGCTAGAAGTCTGCAAAGTATCCAAAATCGCCTTTAATAGTTTGTATTTAATAATTCAAATCTTACAACCAAAAAAAAAAAAAAATACTAGTCATAATTTGGGGGGGGGGGGGGGATTATTGTTATAATTATTTTAATTTAAGGTTGATGCTTTCTCCTCCAAGTTTTTACGAATTTGATTTATATTTTATATAAATTAATTATTTTTTTTTTAAGTTTTAAAATTGCTGAAATTGCTAGTTGCATTGAGGCAGACCGTGCTCTGGACTGTGAATAATTAATCTCTCCTATATATAAATATATATGTCACACATATCCCGTGCACATAGAAATTATTTACATATTCCAAGTACATTCCAAGTACATACATTGTATATGTATATATGAGGAAGGAGACCTGCGAAAAAAATCGAATTTAATAAAATTAATAAACGTCACTAGATCTGTCATCATCTATTATCCGAAAAAATATCGCATTTCCATTCTTTTGTATTTATTTTGGTATTTTTATAGGCCTGTAAGATTAAGCTAGAAGGGAGCATGCAGTCGTATAAACAAAAAAAATGTTACAGTGTACCAGCATGTGTAGTATACAGTAGTAATATAATGCTTATATAATATTGCCCATCGACAATAATAATGTCTTTAGCCATTTTTGTTTGCTTTTCAAAACATTTCTTTTTAGACCCCCCCCCCCTCCAGCCGGCCGCCCCCAAAGAAATGACACTGCTTTCTTAGCGTGCTTGTGTTATAAGCGTTTACAATTACAGAATTTGTATCTACTATAGATACGTGTAAACTAAGCTTACAATGTATATGAATATATTTATTGGTACTTAAACTTTGTATTAAATAACATTGAATGGTTACGTACACTTGTTTACAACATATTAGAACACACACAAAAAATAAATAATAAATCAATTTCCACAATTTGACAAGTGTTTTTTCGGATTGAATAATTGTCAATTATTGCTATTAGACTTTGTAATAATTGTTACAAAACTTATCTTATATAGGACGACATCGGCAAAATTAGACAAAACTTTGTAAATTATGAAAGTCTTACCCCCATTTGAGGCACAGTCAGCGGGGAAGGGGGGTCATAACCCCCCCCAAAAAAAATCCGATTCAAAAAGCCCCCTCCCCCTGAAAAAAAAAATAAATAAAATTAAAATATATATTGACTTCTTCAATATAGTCACGTATTATATGCAATCGATAAACACGAATAAAATTAAATATAAGGTATTTACCAGTCTTGTGTATCAAAGCAGAACCGGGCGATTTTTTTTTTCATGTATCTTTGAGACGCCTTTACATGTAACAACGACAGACAACACAGAAAACCCTAAGATCCAGAAGTACCGCAAGCACATTTTTTTTATTTGATCACACCAATCATGTTTATGACTGTAAACCTATAAAAATTACATAAAAATATACAAATGAACTAAATCAACGGAGTTTGGAGGACAAACCTCGCCTATATTTTATTTGATTCAATTATTCAATTTTTAATCTGTAACGGAAGTGTACATTTACCAGTTTTCTTAGTATAAAATCTTTAATTGTTAATTAAGTGTTGTTCATAAAAATTATGAACAATATCCAGAAAATAAGTAGATGCATTTCATTGAAACCCAGTAGGGTTCAAGGTAAATACTTGACACCAGGTGAGAGCTAGAGTTCAGGTACATTTGTATGCATGTCTACGTTGAATACACACGGGCCGGTCATGTAGGGGAAAGGGGGGGGGGGGTCTTGACTTGACAAGAAGACAGTGTACTGATTAGGCAGGTAGGTGTCAGTTCTCTTGTCACGGGAGCGCTTCCACCTGTCACTAAGTTACATGTACGGTATATATTACTTCATGTTCGGCCGAAGTAGGTAAGATGTATAATAAAAATTTGTGTGGTTTTGTTATTTATTTATTTATTTTTTACATCTTCTAAATGCAGTAGTTAAATATGAATGGCAAACATCTATATTATAATATATACTTATCAGAGAAAAATAATAATACAAAGGAACAAAACTTGCGCGCATAGACAAAATTTATGTTCCCGTTATTGATAAAAAGGATAGCCTTAATAAAGATACTGATATTTTTTTATTCATACTTTATTTTTTGCACACATACCTATAATGTTTTATGTTTCTATAATTATCAAAACAAAGTTAATAAAGGTCTCGCTTTTGTGACTCTGACTGTGTAAAGGGATTATAATATTATTTTCTATCTTTGACAAAAATATTTCTTACATATCAACAAATTTAAAAAAAAAAACAACAACTCTAAATAGTAGATCGATTATTTCATGTACAAAAATAGAATTTGACTTTCGATCTATGCTCTCTGCTTGGTGACGGTACTTGACGTTTATTTATTTATTTATTTTCTTAAAAAAATATACCAGAGTTAGAGTATTAATTTCTCTTTTTGTTCAATAGTTAGATTAATCCTAAATAAATTAACAAAACGAAAGATGAACTCGAGATATCTCGGGTGTTTCTTTGCAATGTAAAGATAAAAAGCGAGGGTTTCCGAATGCACACGATAAACGCAAAACACGATACACGATAGAACCTGATAAACGATCTTCACGATAAACGCAAAACCTGATAAACGGAAAACACGATAGAAAACGCAAAACCTGATAAACGCAAAACACGATACGATAGGATACGATAGGATACACGCACGATACGACAGGATACACGCACGATACGATAGGATAAACGCACGATAGGACACGATAGAATTGTAAAGAATAACGATGCGGGTACTGTATAACGAATTCGTTAAAGTATATATAGCAAATTCGTTATATCATTTTTTTTTTCCCTTCAAGCATGACTATCAAATGTATTAAGGGAAGTTTAAAATATTAAATTTATCGTGGAGTTCAAAAGTTTTGGAATGAATTGAGTTTCAGATATTTATACTTACAAAATTATTATCAGTTCAATATTTTAAAAAATAAGATCTTTAAAACTTCGTTATAAAAGATGTAAATTTTGTTATATTTAACTTCTAGGAGACACAAAATCAGTTCGCTACAGCCGTAAATTCGCTATATCCGAGCTCGTTATGTCTGTAAAATTTTACATTGAATAGTTAAGAATTTTGCCGGGGATTGCAAAAAACGTCGCTATATCCGTGTTCGTAGTAAACGAGTTTTATTGTAGATAGTTGTGTTGCTTTAGCAGTGTATAGAATTAATATAGAACATTAGAAAAATTTAGTAATTTATTCGGAATCTTTCAAAGACACACATGTCATGGGTGTTTCCTCGGGGAAGGGTTCAGTGTCATTTTTATTGATTTATTTTATAAATATAATGACTGAAATACTCCGAGAGCATTTTCGAACCACCAGATCCTCACATTGTACGAAAGAGCAGAAAAGTGTTGACAATACACTTGTGCCTAGCTAGGGTTTTTGAATTACTAAAACCAGTATCAATTACAGGCTGGGACCCAGAATTTTTTTTTTTTTTTTTTTTGGGGGGGGGGGGGGGAGGGGTCACCCTTATGTTTATGACTTCCTTTCATAACAAAATTTAATAAAATATACAAATTTACCATGATTTTACTATAAGCTAAACCCAGCCTTTCCTTGAGCATTTTCGATAGGAAAATGTTATAAGTTTGGAAAAAAGTAGCCCCCCCCCCCAGTCTCCCTGAAACTACGTACGTGCCTGGTTGGATGTGTCAAAACTCGAAAACTTTCTTATTTATTTTCAAGATCTTTACTCCCCTCCCCCAACAAGAATCTAAAGTTTGTCCTCTTTAATTTTTTTTTTAAAAACACTGCGCAGAAAATTCTGAATATATACTTTAAGCTACTGCGAAACTGAAATCATTTGTCCTCTTTATAAATCAGAATCAATGTGCTTACGAGCGTATCTGAGTTGGATTTCAAGGTAGAATTTCAATCCAATGCTTTTTAGCTCACCTGAGCCAAAGGCTCAAGTGAGCTTTTCTGATCAAAATTTGTCCGTTGTCTGTCGTCGTTGTTGTCGTTGTGGTCGTTGTCGTTGTTGTCGTTGTTGTTGTAAACTTTTCACATTTTCATCTTCTTCTCAAGAACCACTGGGCCAATTTCAACCAAACTTGCCACAAAGTATCCTTGGGTAAAGGGGATTCAAATTTGTTCAAATGAAGGGCCATGCCTTCTTCCAAGGGGAGATAATTAAGAATTTGTGAAAAATTAATGGCATCATTAAAAAATCTTCTTCTCAAGAACCACTGTGCTTGAAAATATGAAACTTGTGTGGAAGCATCCTCAGGTAGTGTAGATTCAAGTTTGTTCAAATCATGACCCCTGGGGGTCGGGTGGGGCCACAATGGGCGATCAAAGTTTTACATAAGAATATATAGGAAAAATCTTCTTCTCAAGAACAGCAAAGCCGTGATTGGTCATATTTATATGGTAGCATCCTCAGATAGTGTAGATTCAAATTTGTTCAAATCGTGACCCCGGGGGTCGGGTGGGGCCACAATGGGCGATCAAAGTTTTACATAGGAATATATAGGAAAAATCTTTAAAAATCTTCTTCTCAAGAACAGCAAAGCCATAATTGGTCATATTTACATGGAAGCATCTTCAGATATATATATATAGTGTAGATTCGAGTTTGTTCAAATCATGACCCCCGGGGGTCGGGTGGGGCCACAATGGGCGATCAAAGTTTTACATAGGAATACATAGGAAAAATCTTTAAAAATCTTATTCTCATGAACAGCAAAGCCATAATTGATCATATTTACATGGAAGCATCTTCAGATTGTGTAGATTCGAGTTTGTTCAAATCATGACCCCCGAGGATAGGTTGGGGCCACAATGGGCGATCAAAGTTTTACATATTAATATATAAGAAAAAATCTTTAAAAATCTTCTTCTCAAGAACAGCAAAGCCATGATTGGTCATATTTATACGGTAGCATCCTCAGGTAGTGTAGATTCAAGTTTGTTCAAATCATGACCCCCAGGGGTAGGGTGGGGCCACAATGGGCAATCAAAGTTTTACATAGGAATATATAGGAAAAATCTTTAAAAATCTACTTCTCAAGAACAGCAAAGCCATGATTGGTCATATTTACAAGAAGCATCCTCAGATAGTGTACATTTAAATTTGTTCAACTCATGTCCCCTGGGGGTCGGGTGGGGCCACAATGGGCGATCAAAGTTTTACATAGGAATATATAGGAAAAAATCTTTAAAAATCTTCTTCTCAAGAACAGCAAAGCCATGATTGGTCATATTTACAAGGAAGCATCCTCAGATAGTGTACATTTAAATTTGTTCAAATCATGACCCCCGGGGATAGGGTGGGGCCACAATTGGTGATAAAAGTTTTACATAGGAACACGTAGTAAAAATCTTTAAAAAAAAAACTATTTCTTAAGAACAGCAAAGCCATGATATGCATATTCATATTCATATGGAAGCATTCTTAGTTAGTGTACATTCAAGTTTGTTCAAACATGACCCCTGGGGGTCGGGTGGGGCCACAATGGGTGATCAAAGTTTTACATAGGAATACATAGGTTAAATCTTTAAAAATCTTCTACTCAAGAACAGCAAAGCCATGATTGGTCATATTTAAATGGAAGCATCCTCAGATAATGTAGATTCAAATTTGTTCAATTCATGAACCCCCCCCCTTTTATATTTAAACTTTTCAACCTTTCAAGACTGAACTGATTTCTGCTTTTTTCTAGCCATAGTGCTCAGGTGAGCGATGTGGCCCCTGGGCCTCTTGTTTCTCATGCGGACGCCTGCGCCGGATGGTACTCCTCCAGTTCATTACCTATCATCAAATGTTTTGACACTAACAGATGGAAATGACGTACACTGTAAGCTGCATATTACCAATGTTCCGCGGTCTTATGTACGTTGTACATTAAGGACACGTTTTTATTTTTTTTAAGATACCAGGAAATATTTATCTCGTGAAAACGACTTATTATCTCGTGAAAACGACTTATTATCTCGTGAAAACGACATATTGTCTAGTGGAGATAATAAGTCGTTTTCACGAGATATCTCGTTTTCACGAGATAATATCTCGTTTTTACGAGATAATAAGTCGTTTTCACGAGATAATATCTCGTTTTCACGAGATAATATCTCGTTTTCATGAGATATTATGTCGTTTTCATGAGATAAGTCGTTTTCATGAGGTATTATGTCGTTTTAACTAGAAAATATGTCGTTTTGACGAGATAATAAGTCGTTTTCTCGAGATTTTATCTCGTTTTCACGAGATAATATCTCGTTTTCTCGAGATAAATTTTTCCTGGTATCTTAAAAAATAATTACGTGTCTTAAATGTACCTCCGTATTTGTGACCTTTCCTTCAAATTTAATTAAGATCTGCGTTTCTATTAGGGGAGGGGGATCCAAGGCCATTTTTAGTTACTTTACTTTATACATTTAATTACTCCACAAATTCCGGGGGTAAGGAGGACAACCTTCCACCTCCCGACTCCCCTTTTGATCCGCCCATGGATCTCGTTCATTATGCTTGCCCATGACAAGATAATATACATGAATCGAATTTGCAACAATTAGTTATCCTATCAAAAAAAATCTTTAATTTAATTTAACTGCTTGAGAGAGATCTCAACAGCTTAATAAATTGTACTGGCCTTCACTTGTGATTTCAAACACACTTTTAACTTAATCTGGCCTATATAATGGTACAATTTTCTGATCACCAGAAAAATTTTAAGGCAACTCTTAATTTTATTCCAAGTAAAAAACAAGAAGTGAGTTATAAGAACCACTCCTCAAAAAGTATTCACTCAGTAATTTCAATAAAATAATCTAGGGCCTTTAAACTATATATATGTACATGTATCATTTCATATTGAGTTACTCATTATATTCTAGATGAGTTCTCCACACTGACTGATGACGAGGTGTCCGTGTTATTCTGTTTTCTGTGTTCTGACTCCGGTCCTCCTGACTTCACTTACACAGAGTGGCTGGACATGCTTAATGAGATACGACAGAAAGTGTGCCGTAAAGAGAATCCTGTAACAAGTGAGGAAGCACAGCAGACTCTGGATAGACTGAAGTCACGTGATTATCTTTGGGAAGATCAGGACAAGATAACGGAGGACACAAAGGATGAGACAATGTATAGGATAGCATCAATAAAGCGTTATATACCATTCCTTTACAGTAGTTATGACACAGCCAGTGTGTACCTGAGATCAGAGGAATACAACAGAAAACCTGGAGAGAAGTGTGTCACTGGTGGTGGTTACTCTGGTTACTCACTGAGTACTGGTTACTCTGATTACTTACTGATACGCCGTCTACAGATGAACATACTGACTCACGTCACCATGGAGGTCAGAAGTATACATGATGACATACACCAGATATGTAAGTCAGTGTAAAGATATATGTAATTATTTTCAGATTTCAGAAAATGTTTCAAGTAATTAATTGAATTCTGCAGATTGATATATTTATAAATAAGACAAAGTCAGCATTACTCTAAATATTTCATGATATGAATCCTTAGATATTGACTATTTTATTTATTTCATAGGTTTTGTACACTGCTTCTACAACCTATAGATATATGTACATGTGAAAATATTGTGAACTAAATTAGTAAATGGTGATTAAATCATTTAAATCGATTTCTTCGGAGATTAGATGTACCTTCATGTTTATTTATACTTAATTTTATTTTAGTTGAATTAATAAATTTAACACTGTCACAATATTCGTCTTCTTCTACAGTGAATGTTTCAAACAAAATAATAAATGACTCTGAAGATAAAAGAAAAGAATTTTTAATGGATCTAAGAAGAGAAGGGGAGACTGTACATTACAAAGGAAGCTCACAGGACAGTGTAGATCACGTGACATGGATCTGGAGATACAATGTGCACGCTAGACCCGACATCGTGAGATCCTGTATAGGCCTCCATCCACACAATGACATTTACATCATCGACAACAAAGCTTACAGAAAACCAAGTAAGAAAATTAATATAACTGAAGTGTTTTATTCAGTTTCCTTTAGGTTTTTTACAGTATTCACGGGGAGTAGTTGGGGCACATAAGTTTTAGCTGTGCGACTTCGATAAATAAAAACAAAAAAGTGCACACTAAACATGGAACTAAACCTTATTCTGCAAAATACTGACCAACTTTATTTTCCTTACGGTGGGGGATCAGGCGCGTAGCCAGAATGGAAGTGAAGTGTACGCAGAGAACGGCAGGGGTTAAGGGTAGGTTCTAACTTTCACAAATTAAAATTTTATTAATACTTTCCCGAATTTCCATAGTTTAACTACGCTTCAACAAAAGGGGGGGGGGGGGTCACCCTTTCAATGAACATTTTCAATGGGGAAAGGTTAGGTTTTGAAATAAGTGGGGGGGGGGGCATCCCCTGGCCCCCCTAAACTGCCGATGAGTGCCCAGAAGCTCCTGAGTTTTACCAAATATTTCATTCTTTTTTTTTTTTTTTTTTTTGCAAAATAAAAATTATGCCAAATAGATTGTGTTAACAAAATAACAGACATACTCGTAGTAATATTAATTATTTTAACACAAACTTTAAAATTTCCATGGAAACTTATCGTACATGAAGTTTAGGCTTAATATTTAAACGATATATTGATATCATATACAGGTTCAAAAGCGGGTATACTAAATGTTAATTATTAAACAAAAAATATTGTATTCTAAATTATATACTAGTTCAATTCAATTCAATTCAATTTATTCACTCAAAAACCATGTAAATGGTACATGAAGTACATAAACATATAAAACATATATACATATAATAGATATATAGTAGATCATAGCATTCAGCGATGTGTTTGATCTCATAATCTTTTCAAAACAATATCAATGTATTAAAGAACAATTACAAATTAATAAATAGTGTATTGGGATTGAGCAATGATTTATTATTTTATTATACAATCATAATAATATAAATTGAAATCGGAACAGTTTTACACAAAATTTATTTCGAAATACGAATACTTGTTGGATGGTTATGAGATATTTTCTTTGAACCTCTCTCTCTCTCTCTCTCTCTCCCCTAGTCGTTTGTTTGAAAAATGATGTGTACGCACTCGCGTGTAGGCAGCTACGCGCCTGGGGATGGTGAGGGATAATTTTTTACTGTCTGACATTGATAATTAAGTGTACACTAAACAGGGAACCTTGCGTTATTTTACTCAGCGTAGACTATATATATCCTTAGATGTATCGATCATGCAACGTTGGTCACAATAAGTTTCTTGAGAATGAACATCTCTAAAAGCTTAAATATGGTCACTGAGCCCCCCCCCCCCCTCCCCTAAATATCAACCATCCTAAGTAATTTTTCCATGAATATGGAATTCTCCCTTAACATTTTACTCCCCCCAGCACAGTGACATAGCATCGTTTTTGAAAGGGGGGGAGGGGGGGCAGCCAGAGAAAAAAAAATTCAACTTACCTAAAAAAGGGATCCATTTTTTTCCTTAAAATTCAACTTACCTGAAAAAGGGATCCATTTTTTTCCTTAAAGGGGGGGAGGGTTGATGAGGGATTATTTCCGTAAACCGGAATGTGATTATGAAATACGTATCGTGATACAGAAATTAAAATACCAGTGTTTAGTATATAAATATAAATTCCATAAATAATAAATGTTCTTGTTCAAGTTTCTGAAAACAATTACTAAAATAAAAAAAAAATGTTAAAAAGTAAGACAACGACATCATAGCATTCAAACATGCTTTATAACAGGAAACTTTGTCTTCACAAAATATTTGTTAGAAACACTTAAGTCTATGCAAATTCATTGAAAACTAGCCAATTCAGAGAATCTGTGTCCTCCGCTTAAGGAAAAAAAGAAGGGCATGCGGAAATCTAGGGGGCGGGGGGGGGGGGGGTGGCATACACTTAAAGAAGGGCGGGTGGAGCCATAGGTAGATATGGTATGAAATTTAATTGCATAAACTCAAAAGCTTCTTGAGATATTGCCCGAAATGAAAGTTTAACACATAAACAGAATGTATGAGTTAACGACCTTGACCTTTGACCTTTTGATCTCAAAATAAATAGGGGTTCTTTTTAGGCCACAGGGAATTATGGTATAAAATTTCATTTCAAAAGCTCAAAGGATTCTCGAAATAGATATCGGGTTGACACGAAAGTGTAAAAAAAAATCAGACAGAATTTATGACCTTGACCTTTTGACCTCAAAATCAATAGGGTTCTTCATTAGGCCATCGGGGGTTGTTGTGTAAAATTTCATGAAAAAGCTCAAAAGCTTCTCGAGATATCGCTCGGAAAACGAAAGTGTTACAGAAAGACGGACAGCTAGACGGACAGACAGACCGAAATTAAAATCCCCCACTTTCAGTGAAAGGAGGGGACAAAAAAGTATAAATGAAATATCTGTCATAGGTAATTTTTCCACTTTTCTTTAAGAATAAATCTTAGTAAATGTAAGCTACAAAAATTCCCATACTCTACAGTGGCGTATATTCCTTTCTGTTCATGTGTAGGCTAATGTGGAGCCGAAAAACAGGCGCAAAGTGCTAGTACGAGAAGGGTTATCTTAAGGGGGTGGTCACCCACCAAGAAAAAAAAATCAGGAAAAAGAACAAAATGGCGTGATATTATATAGTGAAAATGAAAGTTACAGGTATATTTGGGTTCGCTTATAATATAAATTATGTATATTACAGGGATCGACATTAATGGTTGTCCGATTGCCCGGGACAAGCAAATTCTCAGTTTGGGCAGGTGAAATTGTCGACGTACTTGTCCGATCGGGCAAGTGAATTGTTCTCATACATTTTAATGTACATATTGATTTAGTTTACATTAATTAATAAATAAAAGAATAAATTGAAACTTGATTTCCATCACGCACCTGACTGACAATGTTTTTGCATTTGAAATTCCCTGGAAGCGTTTCTGGATTATACCGTTCATTTAAAAATCGGGTTCGTTATTTTCTTTCGTAATAAATATGCTATGTCTAACAAAATTTTATTAACTTCTTATTTGTAAATTAGATTATTTATTTACGCACAGAATATATAAGTACAGTATAACACAATGTATCCTGATCAAGATAAGATGTGTTTCGTAGCAACTATCTTCCTTAAGCGTTGCTTCACAGTTATCTCTGAAAATCACGAATCACAAAAGGATCCTACCGAAAATATTTTTTTTTAAAATATGAATTTTATTAAAAGGAAATGGAGGGTTAATGCTGCATGGCAGTACGTGTTAACAGGTTAAATTTTACAAGTACAGCGGTATACATTTATGTACAAATACAGCATCGAAATTTTTTTTTCAGGTAGCTCAACTTGCCAAATTGACAGTTGTGTATTTGGTCACATTTTTTCTGATCATTACGTCTACAGAAATTAATAATTTTCTTCGTAATTTCTTTCCTAATTTTGGGCAACCAAGTTTAGCATTCGGACAAGTCAAAGTCTAAGATCACTTGCCTGAAGGGCAAGTGGATCTGAAACTTAATGTCTATCCCTGATATTTACATGTTTTCTGGTCTAAGTATCAAATAAAATGGAGGGAAAACTTCGGCGTTTACCTGGAATATTTTAATCGAACTTTAAAAAAACATGGTTTTCTTTTGACCAGTGAATATATAGTAGTATAAAAATATTTTTAGCAATAATGAAAATAGAATCTTCATTACCGCTTAAGAAATTTTATCTCTGTACAATTTTACCCTTTACAGTGCTTACGTAATAAAGAAAGTTTTTTTTAATAATGCAATTTTAAACAATATCTTTTTATTTTGATATGTTTTCCTTATACAAGTAATACAAAAATATATCCCGTAGACAATTTTATTTCAGTGTTAGATATTGTAAAATGCATCTTGCTAAGAACATTTTTATTCGCCTTTGACGTCCTAAAAAAAGTACACGTTTTCTGATCATCTCCCCCCCCCCTTCCCCTCTTCAACCATACTGTAGTATACATATTTTAATTTTTACAACTTGAAAAATGATGTGTAGGCTGCAGCCTTTTAGCCTATATGGAAAATACGCCACTGCTCTAGCTTTTGAACGTTTTCGAAAATTTTCATTTCATTGATAGTACTGTAATTTAATGATCATGTACTTGCCACAAACAAATTCTTTTCTTATCTCCCTTACAGGAGAGTTTCATCGCTAATTTTTAGCTCACCTGAGCTGAAAGCTCAAGTGAGCTTTTCTGATCACATTTTATCTGTAGTCCGTCTGTCTGTCTGTACGTCCGTCTGTCTGTAAACTTTTTACATTTCCGACTTCTTCTCCAGAACCACTGGGCCAATTTCAACCAAACTTGTTACAAAGCATCCTTGGGGGAAGGGGATTCAAGTTTGTTCAAATGAAGGGCCACACCCTATTTCAAGGGGAGATAATTAAGAATTAGTGAAAAATTAATAGCATCTTTTAAGAATCTTCTTCTCAAGAACCACAGGGCCAAGAAAGATGAAACTCATGTGGAAACATCCTCAGATAGTGTAGATTCAAGTTTGTTCAAATCATGACCCCCAGGGGTAGGGCGGGGCCACAATGAAGGATCAAAGTTTTACATAGAAATATATAGGAAAAATCCTTAAAAATCTTCTTCTCAAGGACAGCAAAGCCATGATGAATCACATTTTTATGGAAGCATCCTCAAGTAGTGTAGATTCAAGCTTGTTCAAATCATGACCCCCGGGGGTAGGGCGGGGCCACAATGGAGGATCAAAGTTTTTCATAGAAATATATAGGAAAAATCCTTAAAAATCTTCTTCTCAAGAACAGCAAAGCCCTGATTGTTCATATTTATGTGGAAGCATCCTCAGGTAGTGTAGATTCTATTTTGTTCAAATCATGACCCCCGGGGGTAGGGTGGGGCCACAATGGAGGATCAAAGTCGTAAATTGAAATATATAGGAAAATATCTTCTTCTGAAGAACTGCAAAGCCATGATTAGTCATTTTGATATGGAAGCAT